CATGGTAACCAACATAACAATGAGAATGCACAGTGGTTGCCATGCTGAGTAACATAACAATGGGAATGCAGAATGTCAGGGGGAGCTGTGTCCCAGCCGGGCTCTGGGGCTGGGGGTGAGGCAGCGGCCTGTGCTGGGTGTCAGGATGGGGGCTGACTGTTCCCAAAGCCCTCCCTGCCAGGGTGGGGCCTGCTGGCTTCCTGGTGAGCTGTTCAGGCACAGAACTTCTCATCAGACGGAAACTCTGTCTTTCCTACGGGCCCCAAAAATGCCGATCCTCTTGCCAGACTTGGTGAACCTCCTGTGGCACAACAATTCACCTCTTGCAATGAAGGCCCTGGGGGTCCTCAGAAATGTGCTGGGGCACCCAGAGAGGGAGGAGGGCAGTGCCATTGCCGTGCAGGTACAGATTGCAAGGCTGAGCATGGACCCAAAAAGGGGTGTGGGGGGGCTGACACCCCATGGGGGCTCTGGGCATCGGGGCAGGCCTGTTGGCAGTGGGCAGCCCTCCCCCCTGCAGCCTGTGGGGAGGGTCCCTGCAGACCCCACACGAGCAGGGGCAGAGACGCTGCCATGGCCCTTCCCAACCCCTGCCCTACCTGCTCCAGCAGGGCTGGGCAGCAGCCCACGGCCACCCAGACCTGAACACACGTCCCCACAGGTGTTGGAGGGCTTTCAGCCTCAATCCCTGTCCCCAGATAGAGACCCCCAGATGCTTTTGCAGGGGTGTGTCCCAGCTTCCTAAGGGCAGGATCACTGCAGGTCACCTTGCCCAGGCCCTGGTGCCACCTCCCAGCGTCTGCTGTTCTGCAGGTCTCCAGGGAAGCCCTCCTGGCCTCAGCAGAGCTCCTCAAGTGGAAGGAGCTCAAACAGCTGGTGGAGACGTTGCAAACATGGAGGATCAGTGAGTGCTTGGTGAGGACAAGCCCCAGGGCTCGGGCTGGGCCGTGGGCTCTCCCTGGCCCGGGCCTGGGCCGAGGGCTCTCCCCTGCCCTTCTGCAGCGCACACCCCACAGCCTGGAGCTGCAGCCTTGTTGCTGACCTCGAGCACAGAGCCCCAGGGGCTCTTCTGCAGGCTCATCTGCCTTCCCTGCCCCCACTGGGACGCAGGACTGGAAGGGACACTGAGGGGCTTTGTCGACAACGCCAAATTGGGAGGAGCTGTTGGCTCCCTGGAAGGCAGGGTGTCCCTGCAGAGACACCTCGACAGATCAGAGGAATTGGTAACCACCGACCACATGAAGCCTGACAAAGACAAGCGCTGGATTCTGCCCCGGGATGTACAGACATGCTGTGGAATGAGACACTGGAGTGCAGCCCCGTGGAAAATGACCTTGGGGTCCTGGTCAGTGGCCAGGTTGACACGAGTCAGCAGTGCCCTGGGGAGCCAGGAGGGCCAACCCTGTCCTGGGGGGCATCAGGCCCAGCAGGGCCAGGGAGGGGATTGTCCCAATCTGGTCTGCACTGGGGTGGCCTCTCTTTGAGTCCTGGGGGCACTTCTGGGTGACACAAGAAGAGAGACATTAGAGAGTGTCCAAAGGAGGGACATAGGAACAGTGAAGGGCCTGGAGGGGTGTTTTTCCAGGGGATGAGGGTCGGCACAAGACACACAGACACCAATTTTAAGGGACAAGGGTGTAATTTTACTACTGTGCAAAACAGGGAAGAATTAAAAAGGGATAATCTTTAACAGAACTACAAAAACTCTTAGGCAAATTCATTATTATTCAAATTCACCTGAAAAAAACCTCCTTAATAGACCTTTTAAAACTATGAAAAACCTTTAAATTCAAATTGCCTCTGAGAATTCAAACCCAAGAAATTCGGCTTTTGCGGTTGTTGTAGTTTAGGAGTGGCATTCCCCAGTTTGGTGTTCCCCAGTTTACTGTTCCCACTGGAACACCCCAGACCACGTGCTGCTCACCCACTCCCTTCCCCTGCCCTCCCTCTGTGGAGGGACTGAGAGGAGAACTTGGAGGGACAAAAGGGAAAGATCCCGGCTTGGGATAAGAACAGTTCCCTGGGAAAAGCAACGCAATCAGAAAACGAGCAGTGACAGCAGCAACACCAACTGCAGAATGTCCAGGACAAGCGAAGGGGTCACTCTGGTCACTCCCAACGTAGAACCAGCCCCACCAGAAGTCCCTGCTGGTGTGGGGAGATGAACCTGAGTGGACACAAACACCCACAGCTCCCTGGGGAAGGAAGGGGTGGCACGAGAGGCTGTGGGACAAACAGTGCCTTGGGCTCACCGACAGGAACATTTCCTGGGAAAATCCCCCCAGGGTGCAGCCCTGGGATGCGCTTCTGTGCACAGAACCCCCCACGCCCACCCCTCAGGCCTTGGGGGGGCATCTCAGACAGGGGCAGAGCAGGTGACACCCCGCAGGGCTGGAGTGGCTCCAGCCCGTGGAACAGAGGACTCATGACACGGAGGAAAAAGCACCCCAAAAAGCTGAGCTGGAGCCGTGATCCTGCAGGGAGGAATCTCTTCTGGTTGTCTCCTAAACAGGCCCAGGGGCCTGGCTGCTCTTACCACGAGACCTCTCCCAACTGTCTCAGAAAAGACAGAGCAATCAGGGAGGTTTCCAAGCCCTTAGAAAAGGAAAATGCCCAATCTGACTTCCGGAGGGGGAATTTGGGACTGGTCAGCTCCCCCTCAGTCCTTGGGAAGGTGACAGGACAAGCCCTCCCACAGTCATCCCCAGGTGCTTGAGGGCAAAGAAAAATGCA